TTTTTCATTTTGTCATGATTAACATGGGCAGCTCTCCTACAGAACAGGTGAATTCTCCTTGACATACTTTTACCTTTTCCCCCTCTAAACTAGAGTTTCAAGGCCTGAGTATTATACCTGGCATGGGGGTTGAAGGAGGAAGGACCCTCCCTTGGAGCTCTATGTGGCTTTGGTGGGTTATTTGGGTTCCCCTTGCTCTCCTGAGATTTTGTCAAGTGCTCCATACAAGGGCACATTCCACTGAGTAATGGATTTAGACACATGGGTCTGTGCCTCCTACTTAGCTTTAAGTCCTAAAAACAGCAAGCCCTAGCAAGTGTTCTTGCTTCTGCTGAAATCCTGCCACATAATGTGATGGTAGGTAGGTGTATTGTTTGATGTTGTCCAAGGGTGCTATTTCATTCTGTTTGACTGTTTCCAGATTGGGAGGTATTTGGTAAAAAGCTCAGGATTCGGCAAATTCACCTTCTTTCTCTAAATGGCTTTTGAAAGGTGGGAGAATGACACTAGGATTTTCTTTCTTTCCTTGACTTCTACTTTTTGAAGTTATAGCATGAAGTTTTACATAATCTTTTATGAGTGGTTGGTGTTTGTGATTCTGTTGTTGTTTCATCAAAAAATGCATTCTGTGATCCAGCTTCATTTCACATCTTTGCTTGGAAGTCTCTTTTTAAATAAAAGCTGGCCTATGCTTTTACATAAAAGCCTTAAGTGAATATGCACAATAAATATTAAAAACTTCGGTAGAAGCAATTAGAAATCAAGACAGAAAAACGGCCACAATATTAAATAAGTAATTGTCAAGTCAATCTTATAAAATCAGTCAATGTTTGTAACAAAATGATCAGCTCTTCTTTAGGATTGTAATATTTATGCAAGAATTTCACACTAAAAACCCCCAATTTTTAAACTTACAGGTAAATTCACTTTTAATTTTACATTAGACCCCCTGTATTCTTGATTGAATGTCATTTAAACTATATTCTTATACTCACAGGCCAGGGCTGTAGATCATTTAGTCCCTTTTCTAATTTCTCGACATCTGGAAACTTTGTGGCTCCATCAGCATCTGCCATAAGGATCTTTTCTCCTCGAGAACTGAACACACCCTGTATTTAAAAATTTCAAGTAAAGGAAAATTGCTTAAAATCAAGGTTAAATTCAATGACATTTCAGTTTGTTCTGTTTTACTTAAAATACCCAACAGTGAAATATTAGGTATGAGATGGCAGGAGACCAAAGTTCACTGAAAATAAATTACTGTAAATTGATAAAATTCCCCCTAAATCTATTTATTACCTATCTTTATTATT